GCCGGTCCCATGGTGTAATGGTTAGCACTCTGGACTTTGAATCCAGCGATCCGAGTTCAAATCTCGGTGGGACCTCGTCCTTTTCCGATGATTACAACCGAGAGTTATGAAGACACACAAACTTATCAGCGCTAAAGAACACATCCGACGTGGCTGTTTAATAAAACCAATAAATGAAATATTAAGATGTGATAAGTTGCCAAGAAGTGGGAAAGCAATGCAAACTCTGTCTAATGCACAGTAATAAATACCAAAGTGACTGCATTGAAGAAAACAAACAGATGCATGGAGGGACATCAATTAATCAAAGAGCAAATTAAATAAGGATGAAATACAGTAAAGGAAAAGGTCTTTATTTGCGCAGTCAGAGTTATTCATTAACAACATCTGTGCTTTTAAGGCAATTAAATGAAAAACTGTTCCTCAAGAAGGGCCACAATGAGAAGAAATGAATAAATGCTGCAGAGACTCTGGTTATTAGTGGAAAATAAATGTGGCCATATAAATGAAACCTAAAAATACACCTGCAGAGGAGAACATTCTGGATCAGCTCTGCTGGGTTATCAGGAACACTGTGCACTGCTTTGGAAAGGTTAGTTTAGCAACCTAAAAATACCCATGAACATATTTTTGGTTTGAATGTGAGTATTTTTATTGAGTTTCAATGTGTTTGTTACACATAAAGTGATATTAAAATATTGAGAAGTCAAAATGGAATGCTTTATTCTTTTCAGCAAATGTGACACAACATTGACTACATGCTTTAACACAGAATAATAAAAACTTACAAAGCATTACATATACAGGTGCTGACATAACAGAATATATACAACATCACATCTTTATACAAACAAAAAGGCAGGTTTTCATTTCAAATTTGACCGTGATCATAAGAGGATGGGTATCCGCACTGCTATATGGCATGTTTGGCTTATCCAAAATGATCATTCCCAACAATGCTCTGTGGAGTCAGATCTTCAATGGCAAATCAGCATGACTGAGCTCTTATAAACAATAAACTGCATTGTAATAAACAGAAAACGGGTTGGATATTGCCAAAAAATCAGTGGCTTCACTATCACTTTACTGCACATCACACTTTATGAATATAATCTTATTAGACAAGATGTGATAAAATGTATTTCATAAAGATATCTCTGTTTTAATGGGTCTTGAACATCATAAGATGTTAATATTAGGTTAGATTTAGGTGGCCAACATCTAAGGACAATGTTATTTTGACATCCAATAATGATGTGAAATGACGTTGATATTTGGTTGATTTTAGGTTGCGTTGGAAAGTGACCAAAATCCAACGTCAAGCCAACATCTTAAACCAACGTCATATTGACGTCAAATACTGACATTTATTCATCAGGTATGTTAACCAAAAGCCAACGTTTGATAGACGTCATAGTGGTAACGTCCACACAACATCAAGCAGTAACATCATTAGACGTTGATATTTGGTTGAGTTTAGGTTGTGTTGGAAAGTGAGCGAAATCCAACTTCTGATAGACGTCATACTGGTAACGTCCACACAACGTCGTTCAGTAAAATTATTAAACGTTGATATTTGGTTGAGTTTAGGTTGTGTTGGAAAGTGAGCGAAATCCAACGTTTGATAGACGTCATACTGGTAACGTCCACACAACGTCGTTCAGTAAAATTATTAAATGTTGATATTTGGTTGAGTTTAGGTTGTGTTGGAAAGTGACCGAAATCCAACGTTTGATAGACGTCATACTGGTAACGTCCACACAACGTCGTTCAGTAAAATGATTAAACGTTGATATTTGGTTGATTTTAGGTTGTGTTGGAAAGTGATCAAAATCCAACGTCAAGCCAACATCTTAAACTAACGTCATATTGACGTCAAAAACTGACATTTATTCATCAGGTATGTTAACCAAAAGCCAACGTTTAATAGACGTCATAGTGGTAACATCCACACAACGTCAAGCAGTAACATCATTAAACGTTGATATTTGGTTGAGTTTAGGTTGTGTTGGAAAGTGAGCGAAATCCAACTTCTGATAGACGTCATACTGGTAACGTCCACACAACGTCGTTCAGTAAAATTATTAAACGTTGATATTTGGTTGAGTTTAGGTTGTGTTGGAAAGTGAGCGAAATCCAACGTTTGATAGACGTCATACTGGTAACGTCCACACAACGTCGTTCAGTAAAATTATTAAATGTTGATATTTGGTTGAGTTTAGGTTGTGTTGGAAAGTGACCGAAATCCAACGTTTGATAGACGTCATACTGGTAACGTCCACACAACGTCGTTCAGTAAAATGATTAAACGTTGATATTTGGTTGATTTTAGGTTGTGTTGGAAAGTGATCAAAATCCAACGTCAAGCCAACATCTTAAACTAACGTCATATTGACGTCAAAAACTGACATTTATTCATCAGGTATGTTAACCAAAAGCCAACGTTTAATAGACGTCATAGTGGTAACATCCACACAACGTCAAGCAGTAACATCATTAGACGTTGATATTTGGTTGAGTTTAGGTTGTGTTGGAAAGTGAGCGAAATCCAACTTCTGATAGACGTCATAGTGGTAACGTCCACACAACGTCGTTCAGTAAAATTATTAAACGTTGATATTTGGTTGAGTTTAGGTTGCGTTGGAAAGTGACCAAAATCCAACGTCAAGCCAACATCTTAAACCAACGTCATATTGACGTCAAATACTGACATTTATTCATCAGGTAGTTAACCAAAAGCCAACGTTTGATAGACGTCACAGTGGTAACGTTCACACAACGTCAAGCAGTAACATCATTAGACGTTGATATTTGGTTGAGTTTAGGTTGTGTTGGAAAGTGAGCGAAATCCAACTTCTGATAGACGTCATAGTGGTAACGTCCACACAACGTCGTTCAGTAAAATTATTAAACGTTTATATTTGGTTGAGTTTAGGTTGTGTTGGAAAGTGACCGAAATCCAACGTTTGATAGACATCATACTGGTAACGTCCACACAACGTCGTTCAGTAAAATTATTAAACGTTATTTGGTTGATTTAAGGTTATTTTGGACAGTAATCACTATTCAACGTCAAGCCAACAATTTAATCCAACGCCATTAACCCGATTTCCATTTCCAAACAAAATTCAAGGTCCCATGGCGTTGGGGTACAACGTCAATCTGTCAAGTTGACGTCCTGTGCCTGCAGGGCTGATTCACAACAGTGTGTAAACTGATCCACACGTAGCAAAAACTGTAAGTAACAGTTATAAATGCAACCCGAGAGATTTTTAGGAAATGTTTCGCGCCACATATTTTGACCGATATATGCGTCCTGCCATGACCAGTTTTAATTCACCTGACGCTGCTGTTGGACGAATGTTTGCAGGGCAGGAACGTTTGCTTTATTCATATTGAATGTCTCCAGATAGGAAAACGTTCAGAACAGTCCATTTAGGTTTTCTTGAAGTTGTTATGCGTTGTTGTGAGAGGGTTCATTTGTTATTTACAAAAAATGACGCTACAGATTATAGATTCCCAGAAAAATCTTGCGTGTTTCCCCAAAAATAAATAAATGGGAGCCAAACAGGAACTATATGGCAACATTGCTGTGTTTGCTGGGTATAAAAGAACTGGACCAATGCAATCGGTTTGCTGTGCTGACCAAAAAAACATAGCAAGAGCAAACATAATGTGACCACAGTTGTGCTTCATACAAACCTGTGTGACTGACATTCACGATTGTTTTCCTGCCACTGTGCTGATATTTATTATTGTGCATAATATACTGCTGATGAAAACAAGGTCATGTGTACTGTCCATAAGATGCAGAAGAACACGAATGAGGAGATGTGTAAATATGCTTTCTTTTTCCATATGAACACTTCAAGTGCATCACAAAACAGACATTGATGCAGTGCTCAACACTCTACACATGTAGCATAAACAGTGCATTCACACTGACAGCTCTTCACAAGAACAAGGGGAGGGGTCACTGATAGTGAAGGGGAGGAGCTACTGAGCTATACTGATGCTGAGGAAGGGGAGGGGCAGCTTATTTAGTTTGTTATTAGGGGGAGTGGCTTTAATTAGGAGGAGGAGCTGCATGAAGGGGATGATCTTATAATGAGGAGGAGCTAATGATGAATGGGAGGAGCGACTGGGGAAAGGGAAAGGCTAATAATGAAGAGAAGAATGATTAAGGGGAGGGGCTCTTTACACTAAATCCATCATTCTAAGCCAATGTTTACAAGTGTTTAAAGTACAAAAGACAACAAAATACAGGTATTGACACATATGAAATAATGTATGTATAGTAATTTACACTAAATACTATAGTGTTTTACAACCATACTATAGTAAAGTAAGTGCGCAACTCTTTATATACACACTCATCTGTCACTGCACTGTTCTTCACTGTTTGGTGCCTTAAATAGTGAACTGATGAACTGTAATATTGTAGTATAACTAGGTTTTACTACTGTAAATCACAATATACCCTACAGTATTGGGTTGCATGTTTATATTAAAATAGTAGTTGTGTTACCATAGCAACTGTAGAATCCCCACAACAGATTAATTACTATAGTAGTTGTGTTACCATAGCAACTATAGAATCCC